TGACAGGAGTAAGTCAACAAGTTGATCAAATTATTAGAAGTTAGAATGGAAACTCTAGAAAAGAATAACTGAAGCTGACACTTGTTTTGAGTGAAACATGAGGGGACCATGTTAGCAGGTCTTGCTGAAGGATCACCTTGGATTTATTTCAGCAGTTGATGTTCTCCTTCCATGCCTTTACAAATATATGTGAGATGAGGCAAATTGTCCCCTCTGGGCTGTGGAGCCGGTGGGGCCTGTGCCACGCTCCTCGTGCACCCCCACTCCTCCTGGTGTGAATGGGGACTCCAACGTGCACACAGCAATGCTGAAGGGGAGCTGCCGCGAGGACCCAGCGGAGAAATGAGCATTTTAACAGCACTATGTATTTATTGGCTCTATCTTCTGACAAGCCTTTCATTAGCAGCAATTAAAGTGGATTTAACATAAAGCAGGGAGAAGAATGAAGAGGTGGTATGAGGTGCAGAAATGGCAGTTGCCACAGTTTTTTCTTTTTACATAGATTTTTGTAAGTCAATGTCAGACAAAAGAGAGACAGCTACTATCAGACTGTGCACTTGGGGCTTGGATTTTCTGCTGGTCTGATATCCTACCAAAAATTAAGAGCATAATGTTCTAAAGCATGTGCTCGGATTCAGTTTATGGTGAGGAGGAGGTTCTGTATTTCAGTTTCTTACTGAACCTGTTGTGAACCCTGCCGGCACTGGCGTAGGGTTTCGTGCTTGTGTGCTCCTAATCTAAACCAGTGCTCCAGCCTGGGTTTTTGGGAGCGCTGGCTAAACCATGAGCAGACACTGCTTGGCATAAAACAGACAGCTGTGATAATTCTTAACAAACTAGGTTAGCCAGGCCAGAGCACTATTCTTAAATAGCTCTACTGCTTCTGGATCTGAAGCATGTAAATTGATATGTAGGGCCCTCCGAGACTTCCTTAGGGACACATTACTCATGACACATTTACTTCTCCATATATATCCGCTGTTGTCAACAAAGAAAAACATTTCTTTATCACCTGGCATTTTGTGTTGTGCACTGACCACAATGTGTGCTGAGGAGGGCCCTCAGCAAGGTGGACACCTTAAATGCTAATTCTAGCTATAGTCTGGTCGACTTCACACACAAGGTTAAAGATGAACCCCAACCAACCCCTGTAGGCCTGGACCCACAGGGCAAGTGCTGAGGCCCCACGCTGGTGCTGGGTTCTCACCTGCTCCTTCCTGAGCCCCGTAAGGAGCAGCTGAATCCCTTGTCCGCGCCCAGGGCTGGGGACTTCTCAGCCAATTGCTCTCTCTGAAGTCTCTAAATTGTAAGGTCAGCTCTGGAGGCCTGAGTAATATGAGGGTATTGCACTTGGCAGTGACAAGTCCATTTTAAATGCATCTAGCTTGTGTGAATTGGACATGAATGTGAAAAGAGCTGGATTAATGATGATTGATATTAAATCTCTCAGTCGTTTTCAGTGACCTTTGAGACCTACTTGAAGGCTAAAGTGACTTGAAAACAAATCCCTGAAAGAGGAAAAGATCGTGGCCCAATTACCTTAACTCTGAAGAATCTGCCAGTGACACTCAGGATCTGGGTTTTTGCAAAGAGCTAGATTAAAAATGTAGGAACAAGATGCATTTAATGGATGAGTTGGCCAAAAGCACCTGCCATCTTTAACTGCCAATGAACAGGGGAACTGGCAGCCTGGTTCAACTCCAATGTTTTAAAAAGTGACTTCTTAATAAAGGTAACTACATTCATATGCATACAGAAGAGACCTGAGGCTTAGGTTGCCTATTCCCCACAGATCATCCAATCTCATTTTTCAAAATACCTATTTTAACCTATTTCCAGTACCGGATAATATTAAAATGTGCAAAACTTCACTGCAATACTATAATAATAACAGTAACTGTTAGAACACCAAAAGTGACCTCTTCTACAAGCATATTCCGGACAGCTCAGAATCATTCACTCAGGAAACACTTAAAGCCTTAAAGACTTCGGTGCAGTGATGATGCATGATCACAGAAATAATTTCTACATTTTGGGTGATCTGAACCGTCAATGCCCATGCATGAGGAGACGCAGTTAAAGATTTCCAGGCTCCCCCTATAGACGGGAGAAACTCCGGGGTTCCCTTGCCTGCCACAGAGGCCTGGTGCCTGCTGCACAGCCCTGGGGTGAGCAGCCTTTTCTCTTTTGCTATTCCAGGGGGCCACGAGGCTCCACACGAATGTTTCAGATATCAGAAGATGTCTCAAGTGTGGGGGCAACTGAACCAAGTCCAAAGTTAAAAGAAAAATTACTTGTCTTTTAGGTTTTAAAATGTATTTAAAAGAATCGGTATCAAATGATACACTTTTCCCTGCAGAAATAAAAAATATCGAAGTAAGCACACGTGGTTCTTATTAGCACAGTCCTGTTGGAACTGGTTTCCAGCCATGCATCCATTTGACCTCATCACAGTGGTATCATTGCGACCACTACCACCGCAGAGCCATCACTGCCTCGCTGTGAGTAGCCACGGGTTGGATTCAGCGCCGTGGCTGGACACAGGCCTTTACAAGCCACTGGAACAAAAAGTTCATTTTTTTGGGCACCCAGCATATGCTGGGACATACATGCATGCAGGTTGGTGTCAGGGTGCCAATGCTTTTGATGGAGCTCCACATGGATCCTATGGACAATTCATCAATTACAGGGCTCGGATCCAACTCGAGAAAGCGGTCACGGCAAACCGTGGGCCTCAGGGAGCGGAAGTCGGGAACACGATAAAGCACGTGGTCTCTTGCCTTAGTAAAGCACATCTGGAAGGATTTGATTTATTTATTTTTAATGACTTTCTCTTTTTTTTTCAGGAGAGAAAATCAACATTTATAGCTTTCAAAATCTGCATGTTTTAACGGAGTTATATGAGGAGATACTGGAGGCACTGCAGACAGGAGCTGGAGGGTTCTGTGAACATGGATCCACATACAATTTCCTTCAATTATCAGCAGAGCCAGAACCTGCCGTGACAGGTTAGTGGTCAGATCCAGCTCTGAGATCACTCCTGTTACATGAAAAATGAATTTGATTTTATGATCTTTGTTCTAACACTGATTTTCTTGTACTAGTATAGCTTGATATATATACTTGTATATCCCGATAGCAGTGAAGATTAGCAGAAAGACCAATATGAAAATTCTCTTTTACCCTACTTGTATATGTCACAGATTTATGTAGTCTATCGCTAATTTTATTTCTGTATGCTCTCTTCAGTCAATTCGCTTGTCTCCCTGACAATTCCTGCAAATTATATATTGAAAATTTTTTCACCGTACATGTGTTCTTAGTGAAGATTTTGTAGTTCTGCCGGTTTTGAGCTGCAGGTGGCAGTGCTGACCCAGCTAAGAATCTTTTCTGCAGAACACAAAAGACCAGCACCATTTAAGTCTTTCGATGCCTTTTGCATTTTGAAGGGAATAAAGGGGGACTTGGAATCTTGCAAGACTTCTGTGGTGACAGTGGCATAACCATCACACTGGTTTCCTTAAAGCAAGAAACCTATTTAGTCAGTAAGTGCTGGGCAGCCAACAAACCCCAAAGTTTACCCAAAGAAGCAATTTTTGAGAACTGTATCTTTCCACGGTTACCGATCTTGTCCCTATGAGGAGAAGTTTCACCAATCACAAGTAAGAAAATGGAAATTATCTAAACTGTCCTGACACTTAACAATGTTAACATATGATGAGGCAACATCAGTTTTTCTGAAACAAACCAGTGAGGAACCTGATGGCAACAGAAGCCTTCCCTGAATTTTTACTGAAATTTAGTTTCAATTCTTTGATACTTGAAATTCCTAGTTAACTGGCTTTTTTAATCACTTGAAAACTATGGAAACTATTCAATAGTCAGCTCTCACTGACATTTGCAACCTTGC